TTTTTTTTTTTTTGTAATCCGTATATTGAAGACACTTTCTCCATGCATTATTATTATTATTATCCCAAGGCACGAAAAAAAAAAAACATTATTATCCAAAAAACCGATAGATATACAACTGAAGTCAGAAGTTAATAGGGAAGGTCACGTGGTGCACGTGATCATCATCTCCCCAGTGGCACCTGAATGCCAATGATGCGGTGGGGGTCTAAATCATAAAATTAATTGAAAAGAACATAAATGTGGTGTGAACCTTTTGGAAGGTTTTTCCATTCACAAGTCTACTTCAAGTGGTAACACATTCTCAAATCATATTGCAAAATTTTTACCAAAAAAATCATACTGCAAAATGTGCATATAACAAAACAAAAAAATACATTCTTAACTCATTGTAATAATCAAACTAAAATTTTATTCTTAAGAATGTGCATTGCAGTTACAGGACTACCTATAGAAAAGCATCTCTAAGGTTTGCAGCTTCATCATATGCATCCTATATACTTTAAAATGTGCATTGCAGTTACAGGACTACCAATAGAAAAGCATCTCTAAGGTTTGCAGCTTCATCATATGCATCCTATATACTTTAACACAAATTTTTTCAAAAAAATTGACATTTAGAAATACTAGTTCGAAAGACACTTCATACATCCATATGCTGCAACTTATCTACACTCTCCAAGAAGGTTACCAATCATCTGCTCCCTTTGTTGCACCAAGAATAATTACAACTGTGGCAATAGCAGCCTGCATGGACAGCAGTGTCATTGGAGAATTGGAATAAGGGGAAAAATTAAATAGTCAGTGCCTTATATTAATCCTTGTTGGTGTATGTTAAACAACTAAAGAAATAACTTGGAAGGTAAGGTAATAGAGTAAGACCAATACAGTGCAGATAAATAATAATAGACGCAAAAGAAACACAGGCAAAACAATGGGCTGCCAATTGGACGACATTAATATGAACCACAACAACTTTGTACCTGTCTACTAGAATTGTGACTGAGAAAAAGGCCATTAGCATACTGTGAAGGGATAGAGAAATAAGATCCAAGAGTTTTTAATCTTACATTCAAATAAAACTATAATGAACCACTGGGAATACCATCACCTAAAAGGGTCACTCACCATCTAGGACTAGAAAAATTGGTTTTTGTTAGTTATATTTCCATTAAATTAGCACCTCTTATACTATCAACTCTCATTTTATGCATTCAAGTATGAGGAAAAAATTTCTTGAATGTTAGATGGTTCAAGTCCAACCCACTAGTTTCTAGTAGAAGCAGATACACATTACATCATGTACGATATCACATTATTTTCTCACTAGTCACTGTTCAGAGATTTTGGATGCATTATGATTGACAAACATGACAGGCACATAGCTGCAGAAAATGCTCATATTTCAGGAAAATGCAACAGAATGTGGATGTAGGTATTAACACCAGACATGTCCAGATTAATTGCCTCTGAAATGTTGAGATTCCTTTTATTCCTTTGCAGTACAACCTTTAATAACAGGAAATGGTTTTCATGCCTGAAGTTTGGGTGGTAAAGAATCTGGCCCTAAATGATATGACAACTGAAAATAATGCAATCAAGACACCAATGAGGCAAGGCATATGACTAGTATCAACTTGGAAAAAAAAATAATAATAAAGTTCATATTAGAATCGCATGACCTTTAGCCACTTGAAATTAAGTAATAGAAAAGATACTCACAGCAATTGTGCAAGCAATGTATCCTGGTTTCTCTCTGTAGTCTATCCTTCCACAAAGTAGAACAAACAACCCAACATACCAAGGGATGGCAGCAAGGAAGAAACCAATGATAAACCTTCATAAAAACATGATTTTCTTTAGAACAAATAAACAATGAAAGGAGAACCATTTGAAATGGTAACTATGCTAGCAAAAATTCATAATAACCACAATATGATAAAAATCATATTACACAGATTCATGCACTAAAGTTTGTTTGAGAAAGCAACTAAAAGTCATTTCATTTATTTTTTATAAAGTCTCCCTTATTTTGGAATATCTATAGGAGCAAACTCTTTCAATATAGTTTCATTTCATGTCAAAGAGCCATCCAAACCAAATACTTCATGTGCAAAGTTAGCTCATTGACCATGTATACTTCAGAAAAGTGAAGAGAAGAGTCCATCTCAAAGTCCAGACATATCAACTTAGACTATGATTAATACTTCAACCAGCATAGTATGGATGAAACTAGATTAGTTAAAAGTACAAGAAAATAGGATATTTACTGAGTTCTGTTCTAATTTTCCTTTTAGACACTGAAAATATACCATAATGAAGAAAACTACAATCAAGACTTACAAGAGCCATCCAACACCTAGGCCACAGCATGGTAGTCGATGTTCTCTAACAGGTCTTCCTTCAGCAACAGCATAGCCTGGAACAACACAAAGACATTAGGAGTTAAAATCATAAAATATATTTACTTCATACAATTTTATTGGTTGAGCAGAGTGTGCCAGAGTCGTTGATGAAATACAAGAATGGTCATTTGGGATCATGCATATTTGTCAAAGCAGACAACAAGATCAAAATTTCTTAGAGCTTGAGGTCATTGCAGTAAACGATCAATAGTTAATTAATCAGTTATGCACCCCTGAAGAACAAATCTTTTTACTCTACTTCCATTGCCTAGGGCCCCAAATGACATTAGAATCTAGAAAGATAAAAAAGTTCACGAAAAGATAGACCCCCCCCCCCCCCCCCCCAATCCTAGGAATAATTTGTAATTGGTAGATCTAAAGCTTTTCATTAGCTTCCACAAATATTATGAATGATTCATTGGGGTTCTAGCGATTTCCAAGCTTACACTTTTCTGCTAGTCTAAACTCAAAGCTTCGATCTTTCCTACCCTGTTTGCGACAATCCATCAATTAAAGACTCCCCCATATCCCAAATCCTACGCAGACCGATTTCCCGGAATCAATAAAAAGAAAAAATTTGGAGGATTAGGCCTTACCCTGGACGGTCTGGGTCTGATAACCCTGAGCATAATATTGGGGAGGAGGGACGGAAGGCCCGTGAACGCCATGTGGTGGAACGGGCTGAGGAAATCCGATGGCCGGCTGCTGGTGATGGTGGTGGTAGTGGGGCGGCGGACGAGGAGGGGGATAACCGGGAGGAGTAGGAGGGTAATTGGCGACTCCTTGAAAGGTGCCGTACTGATGATGCTGGTGATCAACGACGACTCCTCTGTTCTTCTCCTCCTCACTACCGCTGCTGGTCATCTTTCTTCGTTGTTGGTCAAGAATCAGGAGGCAGGCGTGGGTTCGACTTGGATCAAATGCGTGCAATTATAGATTGGGAGAATTTAGGGCAGAGAAGGGTTACTGGTTGATGAGAAATTTGAGGACGATTGATGAAGACGAAGACGAAGATGATTAGCACAATCCGTAGGCATTAAGCATCGATTGCCAGTGGGGAATTATAACGACCACCTTCACCTGTCTCCCGTGTTTTGACTGAGTCATTGACCAATTTTTTTTTTTTTTTTGAAAATATACTCAAAAATTTTACTATAAAAATAAAAAATTAAAAGATATTAATTTTAAATAAAATTTAATATATAAGTATATAGTAAAAGACATTTTAATTTTTTTTAAATAAAACATAGTTAAATTATACTGAATTGTAGTTCCCATTATATATTTTTAGTTTTTTAATATTTTAAAAAATATATAAAATATATTTAATATTTACTTTACTTAACATTTAATATATTTTTAAAATAATAAAAAGATGTAAAAACAAAAAATTAAAATAATTAGAAACGATATCTAACGAAGTCTAAAACTACTCAATTAGAACTATATAAAAAAATTAATTATTATTTATATACTTTATTAAATTTTTATTTAAAAATTAAATTTTAAATTTTAAAAAATAAATAAATTAAGTCAATTAATTTTTTTAAAATAAATTCAACTAAAGTTGAATGTATACTTTCTCTTATTAACCTAACCTATTAATGGAGATGAGAGATTTTTATTATGGATAAATGGAGTATAAATTTTTAAAGATTAATGATTACTATGTTTTTAGATAGTAATTCAAAAGTTTGATATGAAGGCAAAAATTATCTTTAAAAAAATAATTTTCAATTGAATAGAAACTGTCTTAAGAATATTTTGATAATAAATAAAAAAATTGGTCATTCATAAAATATATTTATTACAACTCCAAAATGAGGTAAGTAAATTATAGGAAGCGTATTAAGAATATTTGAAAATAATGTTTCAGATGTTATATTCTAAGTATTGCATTTAAGTTTTAAAAATTTCATTTCTTTTAATGCATTATGCCATGGCTGTCTCAAATTAGTTGATTCTAAATTAACCAAAAAAATAAAAAAAGTCTAAACCTTCAGAAGACTCAACATGGGGATGGCGTCTGAGTTAAAAACTTTGTTGGACATTGCGTCATACAATATTAATTTAGTTTTTTTATTCAATATTGATGGGCTGGTGTGAAAGGTATATTGATTTAAAAGTATTCTATATTTTCTTGTTTTACTTAAAGATCCAAACCTATAGGTTGTGGAACAGTCGTTTTGATCCAGTAATATGGATCTTAGGTTAGGGTCATTTAATTTTTGAGAATGATGTATTTAAACCTTATGAAATTTTTTTTAATTAATATATGTAAATAATTTCAATGTGTTTAAAATTATAAATTATGTGTTTAAAATTTTAAATAATTTTTTATCCACAACCTAAAAATGTAATGACATTTTTTTCTCTTGAAATTTAAAAGTCTTTATATGAGTTTATGCCATGTGAATGTAAAAAATTAAGAAATTAAAAAAACAATAAAAATTATTCTTTTATGGTGAATTTTATATATATATATTTAGAAATTATAATATTTAAGATTGAAAACCATGGGACCATGAAAAAACAATGTATTATTCGGTTTTCTATTCAGTGCCCATCTCTTCTTTCTTTTTTTTAACATTTTGGGAG